TGTGTGGAGGGACAGGGGTGGTGGTGACGAGGATGGAAGTGAAACAGCTTTAGAAGGGAAGGCTGCTTTTCTAGGACATCCCCACATACAACTCCGAGTAAAGAAAACAGACCCAACCAGTAAGTAACATTTGCTGTGTTCTTCAAATATCCAAGAGAGTCGTGAGTTTGTTTTGTTAAAGAGATGCCTTACAGCTGCCTGGATACCCCTTATTTCTGTCTGTTGTTATTCCAGGACAACAGTGTGTTTTGAGAGGCTTCATTTGCAAGCATTCATATAACTGAACAGCATTCAAAATGTTAAAACTAGCCGGAGAAATACTTTACCAGCCTTGAATGCCATCATCTCCTATCATTTGATGAGCATTTATGAGCATTGTTGCTATGCTTCTACGAACTGTTTGTTGGGGTTTGGGGTTCACAAACAGTGATTTTTGTGTAGGCCATAGTACCACTGAATCCCTCATATGCAGTACATTGCTATAAAGGCATTCCTGTTAAAGGTTAAACCTATGTCCACTTATTCTATAACAGAGACACAGCTGCCTTTGAGCCATATGCAGTGCCAACTTATTGCCAAGTTTTTAATTGGAGAATTTGATATTTGACCGGTGCCATACATATATGTGAATCGTCAAGATTGCTTGCCCAGCTAAATATAAACCATCCCCACAGAAAAGATATGTTTAAACTATAGAAAATCTCTTGTATTTGGTGATTAGTCCAGTTTTTGGACTAAAATTGAGGCTGTCAGTGGGTTTATTCAGAATATTATAGTTTTTATTATTGCTTTCTGTGATTTTTTTAGCCCAAATGATTTTAAAAATTATTTTGCTAAAAGATAAGAACCATTCCTTTTTATTTCTAATTCCGAAATAAAAAATTTCCTGTTGGCTTACATTTTATTTAAAAGGCAAATGTACAAAGCTAAAGAGAATCATGTACTAGACCCCCATGTACTTACTAGTTTGAATGTACTACCCACATTGAGTAGCCCCACCGACTCCTAATGCCCTGCTATTTTGAAGTAAATTCTAGACATTGTAGCATTTTGACTACAGATATTTCAGTGCACATTACTGGAAGAGAAGAACATTTTAGACCACAGCTAAAGATGGCAATTTCTTGTTTAGAACTTCAATACTCATTTCTCAGATTTCCTTATCTCACAAAGTATGTCATGAAGTTTTTGCAAGTCAGTATACAACTCAGGATATTTGGTTGAAATATCTCCTAAGCCTCCTTAGCTTCTAGCTCTCTTCCTCTTTTTGTAGACAGGGCTGGACAGAGCCAGTTCATTTGCTTTTTCCCATGTCACACAGGCAGTGGTTGGACCTAGATTCAACAAAGTTCACTGTTGGTTTCCTCTCAAGAGAAAAGAAAAGCCTAGTGGAGTGGTTCATACAAAGTCTCCTTTTGCTAACCTATTTCTTATGAGTTGTGATAAAGTTTTAATAGATTACTTGATAGAAATTCAAAATATTCCTAGAGGCTGGATAAATGCTATATAATAATACTTATTATAAGTCAAGCGATCCTTGTCTCATTGCACTGCTTTGTTAGTGAATTGGTGTGTGACTGAGGTCACTGGGTCTCGCCATCTCCATGAGCAGAGGGAGGGCTAGCCTGAGTTCCTTGTATGTCTCTTTGAGAGTAAAGATAACATCAGTATGAGGAGACTGAAATGACCAGCCACAGCTTCTTTCAGATCAGTTCTTCTCACCGTGATGAAGACAGGAAGTCTTCCTGGGTGAATGGAGTCATCCTACACAAGTGAAGAGTATGAGATATGCCCTGACACCCATTAAATTTGGTGTGGCCACATCATGGGGAGACGCACGGAATGACCACACATAGAAACTGTTGTCTTCAGTAACATAGGAACTGGATAGCGGTGAACAGTTACTAACCTACATTTTTTGAAGCACTTTTAAAGTGTTGATGGGGAGAGAGTGGTATAAATTTAAAAAATAACCAAAAGGAGAGATTTCAAGGGTATGTGAAAATAAGAAATTTGCTATGGGGCCATTTTTCCTCCAACTCCAAGAAGCAGCATCTGGTAGCGGCCATCATTCTAAGGGACCTTCAGGATAAGCAATGACACCTGCCAAGGGATGTGCCAAAGCACTCGTAGGTCTTGGTAAACATGAACTAATTAATTTTCACAACACCCTTGTGAGTCAGGAAGCAGCATTCTCTTAGCTTTACAGATGGGAAAGTGTCAGCATGTAGACCTAAGTGATTTGGCCCCTCTCACAGTGAGGCTAGGCAGGGCTGGGAATAAGTTGTTTTATTAGAAAGGCTTAGAGGTTGAATTCACCTCCAGTATTCTCATTCTGAACTGTTATCACACTTCTTCCCTTTAATGAAAGGACTCCTTCCTGCAAAATAATAATGATGATGCAGGCACCTCTGCCCATGAGTATGTGATGACTAGATATCGCTATACCTAGCAATATAAAACCCTTGCACTTCAAAAGTGGGTCTAAGAAATTGTCAAATTTGTCCTTCTTGTTGTGTCTAAACATTTACTTGCTCACCATGAACATAGAACTCATGGTGCCAGAATAAAAATTAGAGCACTCACTTATCTTTAGACCCGTTGGCCAGCTCCAGTTTTAGTACAGTCTTCACATGCCTCCTACTGATTCCTTTTCTGTAGAACTCCAGAGAGTGACATAGACTGGAAAAGGTGGGGTTCAGAGTCTGTACAAAGGCTGTCACCTCCAGCAATTCGTCTGGCTCTTAAATCCTCTACTCAGCCTTTCTGTTCAGAGGCTGCCCAGCCTGTGACTGAACAAAACTGGTGATGAGAAAGCCACCCCTACTAGGCGGCCTGTGCCGCCTCTCAGCTCGTCTCCCCCCACAGTCATCACACTACTGCTCCACACAACTCACCCCAGTTCCTCCCCATCCACCCTGCAAGGTGTCTTTTATTTGCTTTTTCCAGAAATCTTTATTACTATTGACTTAATATTCTTTCAGTGGATGTTTATGAAATCCCATTTGTAAGTGTCACAGACAATGAAATGATAAATAGGGAGGGTAATCTAACAAAAGAAACTGCTTTAAAACATAAGGTGGCAAAGGCTTTAGTGCAACATGTTTATGATATTAAGAGAACAGGGAAAATGTATTACTTATTATTATCTATAAGCACTGAGGAAAGACAGCAATATCCGCTGCCTTTCAGAAAATTTGTAGTCAAAACAAAAGACAGAATAAATAGGTGCATGTTGGCTACATATCAGAATGCGTGGTTATGAGCTATGAAAATGTGATCCTCCACTGTGTCACAGGATGTTGCTGTATAGAAACAGAAATAGTAATGAATTCAGTCATTTAAAAGAGCCACTGAGTTGCATAACACTGGTGGGAGTGGGCAACAATACAACATTGCTCCCTGTGAAAACAGTGGCCCCTGAATATCAGCTCCCTGTCCCATGGAACACTACTCAGTAGTGAGCAAAGGAGATCTGCCCCAAGAGCTGCCTTATGAGTTAATGTTCCAGGAAGGAACCGTGTCTCCCAGAAACATTCACATGCATGCATGATGGTGCTAAATTGTGTTAAATACCACGGAAAGAACAGATTGCAGAGAGTCGGATGAGACAAATGCCATTTTAAAAGGGCCAGGAAGAAAATGTCTCTGTGAGGACTAACACTTCCAGTGAGACCCTGGAGAACCCATAGGGGAAGACCAAACAGAAAGAGAACTCACTGGGGAAACTCGCATGCAGAAGGGTGGGGGTGACTTTGGTGTGCTCTGGAAGATGAGGTGAGTGACACTTTCTGATGATGGCCAGAAGAAGGGAAGAGAGGCCCCCATCAGGCCCAACCCCATGGGCCAAGGGCTTAATTTCAATGCAACAAGAAGTGATAGGAAAGATCTGAGTTGAGATGCTTCTGCTGAGGTTGTGGGAACTGGAGAGCAAGAACTGGAGAAATCAGTTTGTGCCAAGATTCTCAGGACACAGGTTGGACTGAGCTGTTTCCCAGGATGAAAAATCTGAGTTCTACTCTGTTGTTCTCTTTTGATTATTTACTAAACTTTATGTAAGTGTTTCCCTTAGAAAGTATAAGACTCTTGCTGTTATTTTATCTTTTTTCCTTCCTAAAACAAATATTCTTAAATCAAAATATTAAGTCTTTTAGAATAAAACATGCATGGCTCAAAAAAACACAAATTATTTCTTCCACAAGTCTTTAACGTTTGCATGAGCCCTGGGCATTGTTTGGATTTTACTGCCATCTAGTGCCTCCGAACACACGTGTGTTTGTGTTGCTGAACAAGATGCTCTCCAAAAGTGAAGAAGGAAGTACGTTTCTGCTTCTGGAATGGAGAATGTCTGGGTTACTTTTATTTATTTCACTTTTTAATCAACATAAAATAAGCCTAGTCTTACTTATTACCCCCTCTCTTCTCTACATATAATTACCTGGGGTTCCATTGATCTCTCTGTTTTATGTTCATGCCATCCCCTAAGGCTTCCATTAGGAGAATTCCTCGGGGATGCTGAGTGAGGGGGATGCATGTGTCCATTGCACCAAAGTACCTTGCCCTAGAGAGCAGGGGAGAGCATGAAGCCCAGCCCACATTCTGTTCTAAAGTTAAAGGCAGAAGGTTACAGCTGCTCCAGGACAGGCATCTTTCTTCCAGTGTAATAACACAAAAACAGCCCTGGTGTCTGTACAATGGCTGCCATGCAAAAGGCAGACCTTTATCCTTCCCTTGGGGCTTCTAGTTTTAGGATTGGATTTTGCCTCTGATGTAGTCTTCTTTTACAAGACCCAGAAAGACCCCTGGGGCAAAATACATGCTGAACCTATTTGTTTGGCTTAGTTTTGTTAACTAGAGGTTTGCCTAGGCTATTGCAATAATGAATGTTCTTTTCAAAATAGGAATGGGAATGTGTGCTTTTGTGTTGCCCTCTTCAAGCTTACTAGAATACATTTTCTTTCTCACTGCATTCTTCATTGTAAATCTTTTCTTCTTCCAAGGTCTCAAGCCACTCGTTTCCGCTGGCACCAACCAGCACCTTTCGACAAGCAGCAGACATGGGCAATAGATAATGTCTATATTGGGGACGGCTGTCTAGACATGTGCAGTGGCCATGGGAGGTGCATCCAGGGAAGCTGTGTGTAAGTTGGAATGTTTCTTCTGTCTAAATATCTTGATTTGTATTCCACCCAGAAGGTTTCTAAAACTGGGTTTTTCATCACTGCCAAGTTACCTTAGCTTTTGAGTTTTCCTGAAATATAATATTGAGCTAACAGTGGCTATTATAACTACATTCTTACTTAGTGATTAGCACCTGAACAACAGCTACATTGTCAAGAGAGAGCCGAATTATAATTGACTATATTACTTTTTCTTCTGTTTCTGTGATACATTTGAGACTTGAAAAAGATGATAGAAAACTTTAGGAGTTCATTATATTCTCACCAAAAATGATATTAAGTCCAGATACAGGTAAGGACATGCATTTGCTGAGGTTTAGTTGAAATTTCTCATGTCATTTGCATAATAAAATATAAACCTGGTCAGTTACCGGGCATATTTGACAGAGCCTGCTCTATCACTCTCCTAGATCTTTAGCATCTTTGGGAGAATCTACTTTTAAAGCATTTAGTTGGATGTGTATGCATGTACACACGTGTGCACTACAGCCTTTTGTGCTTTGTTTTCTAAGTTGTGCTATTTGATTGTTAGTGTAGAGAAGCTAACAGAGAAATCATATGCTCTTCTCTGCTAATCTTCATGTACATAGGAAATCCAGCCCGTGATTAATGATTGTATCCCATATCCAGGATGACTCTGAAGAGCCCTGGGCAGCCTTCCAGTCCTGTCCTGAACAGAGAACTGAGAACTCTGTTCAGGGATGGCGGTGATTATCTGAAGCATCGTCTGCTTTTAGCACACAGCCACTTGGTTCTTCAATGGCTGGAAGCGTCTGTTTAAAGAACAGTTTCATATATTATTATCACCCAGCAATTTGGTTTGGCAGCTGTGGTCCTATAGGCTATCCAATGCTGTTTCACGTGAGACAGGACTTCAGTATGTTGTTTAAAGTTAGTTGATTCTTTCTTCCACCTGCAACCACTAGTCACTCACTACTTTAGGAAAGGCTGAAGGAGGTTAATTCACAGCCTGTCTCTAGCCTCTGGCGTTGTTAAGGAAAGCAGGTGATCTTTGGCAAGCTTTGTGACTGTGAAGAGCAGCAACCTTTCATCATCCTGGCCTAGGAAAAAGTTGGCTTCAGTAATGTGTGAATTCTCACAGGGGCTGTGTTTGATGTTGACTCTGCCTTTCTCTCTTTCCACACCCAGCTGTGATGAGCAGTGGGGAGGCCTGTACTGTGATGAGCCTGAGACCTCCCTCCCAGTCCAGCTCAAAGACAACTTCAATCGGGCTCCCTCCAGCCAGAACTGGCTGACTGTGAACGGTGGGAAACTGAGCACTGTGTGTGGAGCTGTGGCTTCGGGACTGGCTCTGCATTTCAGTGGGGTAAGAGTTGGACTGAAGTTTACTCAGCTCCTCTCCCTCCGCTGAGTCCCCGAGTCACTTTTGAAGCTTAACAGGCAAATCAAGATGCAGTAGCCCTTAATGCCTAGTCAGGATCTGAAGTTTCAACAGCGCTAAGCATTTCTAGAATGTTCCTACCCAAAGCTTGTGCTGCTGTCAGCACAGGGAAGATTTAAAAACACATCTTTAAAGGGCTTGCATGGGTTTCCATGCTGAGAAAGGGGCACCTATACAGTGTGTGTGCTGGGGGTTGGGCGGGGGGCTCTGTCTGGATGAAGCCATAACTGAAAACTCTTGAGTTCACAACACATTTGAGATTAAAGAGTCAAAAACCTGGGAAATGAGCTTCAAAGTTTCTTGAGTGTATTAACAACTAATTGTTTATAAGTCACCCCAGAGAGAGTAGCTTGTTGGTAATTACTGAACATTTGCATTTATAGCATATTATTTTGTGAGTGGCAGAAGCAATGTTGGAAAGTTTTCCTTTGAAATAAGTTATTATCATTCTATTTTGCTGCCAAATTTTAACTTTTTAAATGTGTAATTTCTCTAATATCATGATTAGATAGGCAAATTAATTTTAAAAAATAACCAATTCACATTCAACTCTTTTTTGCTGCACTCTATCATAGAGTTTATATTGTATTTATATATTATTTATATCCAATTTTTACACAGAAGTAACAAAAGTGTATATATATATATATATCATATTAATTTTTCGTAATCGACAACACTAAGAATGTTTATTCAAGATACTCTTCTGCCTCAAGTGGAAGTGGGAACAGCCAGTATTTCCACATATGTTCAACTAACAAACACCTACCTATCAAGATTAATATATTGATAATTGATAATTGATAAATAAATGGCATTTGGTGCTGGTGAGAGATGGCTCAGTCAGCAAGTGCTTGCTTTGCATAAAGACTTGGATTACCAACATCCATGTCAAAATCAGGCATGGTAGCCTGTGTAAACCTAGTGTGGGAGGTGGGAACTGGAAACAGCCCACTCCTCAGAGCTCACTGGCCAGCAAGTCTAGCCAGTCGGTGAACTCCAAGTTCAGTGAGAAACCCTTTTCTAATTGGAGAGTGATGGAGAAAGATAGCCAACATCAACCTCTGGCCTCTACATGCACGTGAACATGTGTGAACATGCATGCATGTGAACATGTAACCTATACACCCATGTGCATATACACTCACACAGAACAACCACAGACATTCACACAAATTTAAATAAATAAATTTTAAAACATTTTAAAGGACATTACAACTATCTCATTATAATTAAATTATATAATTGTTTCAGTTGTAGTCATTTTAAAATTACTCATTAAATAGTTACCTAAGGAGGCTGGAGAAATGGCTTAGGGGTTAAGAGCACTGGCTGCTTTTCCAGAGGACCTGTGTTTGAGTCCCAGTACCCACATGATGGCCACAACTGTCAGTAACTACAGTTCCAGGGAATTCAACACTTACACTCACACAGACATTCTTACACACATGTAAATGAAATTTTAAAAATAGTTATATCAAAATGTTACTTCATTAGTAACTGGTGCTTTTTAGTAAATGCTAACTAATAATTGAAAATAAATTAATAAAAGCTTTGGATAGTTACTATAATTTCCAACATTTGCTTTGCCTATAAAAATATATTAAAAGGAAACCTCCTTAGAATATATGACATTTGGTTAAGTAAGTCTTGAATACTGAAATTTGAAAGTTCAACAAACATGAGCTGGGCACCATGCTAGAAGCTAGTGTGAGAGAGATAATAACATAATCAAAGGGACAAAATCAGAGAGAAGCTGTACTCTGCGATCTGCAATCAAGATTCCTTATTGCTGCTTTTTCCCTGTTCTGTTCCTTTTTCTTAGGGCTGTAGCCGATTGCTGGTCACTGTGGATCTAAACCTCACTAGTGCCGAGTTTATCCAGTTCTACTTCATGTATGGATGCCTCATTACACCGAGCAACCGTAACCAAGGGGTCCTCTTGGAATACTCCGTCAATGGGGGCATCACCTGGAACTTGCTGATGGAGATTTTCTATGATCAGTACAGCAAGCCTGGGTTTGTATCTCTCTCAACTGCAATAACTAGGCTATCCAGCTTGGGAAGGCTCCCAGTAACCAGTTGTCACCGACTGAGGGGACCTCCAACTTACTCATCAGTAAAGGACACCTCAGAGACAGGCAGGGAGAGCTTCCTGGGGTACATAATAGATAACCAGGGCTTTTATTTTAAGAACAAAAGCTTTCCCATCCCAGAATAAGATTAATTACTAGATTGTAATACCAACAGTAAATAAACAGTGCAAAAAAACATGGAGGCTGAATATATGATGATTTCATAAACATCTGGAGAAACAAACATTTGTTTACAAAGTATCTTCCCAGTATGTATAAGACAGTAAGATGGCAGTATCCTTAAGATGCCTAGAACCTATGTCATCCTTCTTTAAAGACCCTGAGCAGCCATCATACATGGGCCTTTAAAAATATTCTAGGAAGACCAAAAGCAGTCAATGTAGCTAATTAGACAAGCCAAAGAGGGGCCATATGTGGGGCTTCCTTGCTGTGGTCTCAGTGACTCTGTTGGCTGAGGAAGGAGGATCAATGGAGGTTACACACTGAAGACCAGGTTGGACAGCATAGTGAGACCCCACCTCAACAACAGAAGGGAGAAGAAAAGGGAAATGAAATAAAAGAAAGATGTTGAATCAGGAGTAAAACTCCTCCCCTCAAGGATCAGCAATCTGTGGAGATGATGGGAAAAATTGTAAGACCCAGAGGTAGTACATGACTTCAAGGATATTGAACACACTTCAGGGCAGGCCCTATGACCTACTGGTCAGCCAATAGAGTCTGCATAGACTCTTTTAATAGGGAAAGAGAATAAAATGTGGAATTGGGTCAGGAGGGAGGTGGGGAAGGATCTGGGAAGAGTTGGAGGAAGGGGATGAATATGATCAAAATATATCATGTAAAATTTTCAAAGAATAAAAAAAGGGGGGCTGGGGATTTAGCTCAGTGGTAGAGCACTTGCCTAGCAAGCACAAGGCCCTGGGTTCAATCCTCAGCTAAAAAAATATGTATTTGTTCAATAACTTTTAGTGCTGGGAGGTGGTGGTGCATGCCTTTAAACCCAGCACTCGGGAGGTAGAGGCAGGCGGATCTCTGTGAGTTCGAGGCCAGCCTGGGCTACCAAGTGGGTACCAGGAAAAGGTACAAAGCTACACAGAGAAACCCTGTCTTGAAAAACCAAAAAAAAATAAATAAATAAATAAAAGGAAAAGGGTAAACTAATTGAAATATTCCTATTATTCCTATTTCAAGGGAATGAAGCAGAGAATGAGAGAACAGGACACCTACCATTGTCCTCTGGCCTCCATGCATGCATGGACAGGAACATCCACACCTTCACACATGCACATACACCACATACTATAGTACTAATTAAAAAGAAGAGATGGGCAGAGGGACTTTAAAACCAAGAGACGTGAGGAAATAAAATTTGGAGAGGCCTGCCTCAAAGATGCTGGTCTCCAAGCATCCAGTAACCACATAATTGAGGGTGTGGGATTCACAGACTACATTTTCCTGCCCTAATGTCAACACTCACTAGTTCTTCAGGGTCCAAAGAATGCACAGACTGAAGTGTTAGTAGCCGATTACAGACATCGGAGTTGGTCTCCATTCAGAACACTATCTACTATGCTAGGCACTCAGAAGAGCAGCAGGAAGGCAGAGCTCAGGGGTAGAGTGCTTGTCCAGCATGTGCAAGGCCCTCAACACCAAGAAATAAAAAAATCAACAAGGAAATACCATGTCAACAAAAGGAAAATAATTAAACCTCTTTAATGTGAAAGTCAAAGACTTGAGTGACTATTAATGCAGCCCTCGGTTTTAGGACCCATCCAAGATTAACTTATAGTTAACTTATAATTTCAATGCTAAGAGGCTGCACTTGAAAGACAGGTAGATCAACAGATAAAAAGACCATGCTCTCTGCACAGATAGAAAACTAGTCCTGTGAACTCTGAACATAAATCAAATCTGTGGTTCTATTGCTGGCTTTCAGTGAATATGTTTAATTGTAATTTTAAATGTAAGCCTCGTTTCTATATAATGAGGTTTGTATTGGAGCATTGAGCTATGTGTCCTTGGTGACTAAGTCAGAAGACATGCCTAGTCCTCCCTCCTTCAGTGTTTCTTTCCCTGCTCTCACTGAAGCACATTAGCAAAGCATTGTCTATATCACGGGCAACTAAGACCTGATTGCTTTTAGGCTGAGGCTCCAGCATCCTCTTACCACAGCTAGTGTCCATATCCCAAGCCTGTTGCTGGCATTGAGCAGATTAAAGCAGAAACCAACCCTTATGTGACAGGAAAACTGAGGTCAATATTGGTTGTATCTCCCAAAGTATGTGTTCTGTAGACCTGCAGTTACCTTCCCAGGGATGCAGATGTCCAAGGTCCACAGGCAGCACTGAGAATTCTGGGGTCCTCACATTGTTTACATTCCATTAATGACTGGTAAAACAGCCAGTTAATCAGGTCCACACACAGGAATCGATGGGTTGTTTTAAAAGGAAGAGTAGGGAGATGGAAGTGTATCTGGGAGGAACTGAGGGGAAGTTGAGGATGAGTATGATCAAAATACATTCTCAAAGATTTAATAAAATTATGTTTAATTTGTTTCAGGGACTAGGAATATGACTAAGTTGCAAGCACATTAGGAACTAAATTGAATCCCTGCTATCCATTTAAAAGCCAGGTCAGGTGGTGCC